GCCTCATCCGGGCGTGGCTCGTATGCTTGCACCTCAAACGCTTTCACCGATTATAAGAAGTTATAAGTTTAGTTGTCTTATCTTTCCTACTGTTTGCATTGGCTTTGCGAAACATTTCAGTCGTTTACCAGGGAATGATTCAGGAAATAAATTCATACGGCACAGACGAGCAATGATGTCATAAAACTGTGATAACACTTGGCAAGGTATTTGATGTGTTGTGTCGAAACTAGCATTAAAAAGTACAAAGCCCTTGTAAAAAAGGAAACCAGACTAGCAACTATTCTGTGAGCGATTTCCTGAGAGCATTTCGTGACAATAAGACATTCTGTCTGGCTAACACGGGCAAAACACATCGATGTAATCTGGGTCTGCATTTTACTCTTTCGGCGTGGAATCCTGTCTCAATATTCAAGAAAACACTTAAATCAGTTTGTCGGACCCTGTCACATATGCACCATAGTCGTTAACAGCCATAATTACGCGGCAAATTTTCGGTAATTGAAGGGGAGAGTGGCGTGGAGACATTTTTCCGCGGGAACTGCCTGCTGTTCCGACACTGATGTGTTGAGTGCAGCAACTTTGCAAACACAGCCCATAAGGTCATAGGGATCCTAAATAATTTCGGATGCATTCGGGTTATCGAACGTATAACGCTATACGTATTAACGCTATACGGTCCTGTAAACGCCATAGGAGGCTTCCATTGATGACACAGGAGGCACTCTGGCAGCTGCAGCAGGTTCTAGAAGACGCGCCATGTGAATCTGGTGCATCTACGACCAATCCTCGACTGTACGCTCGGCATCCGGCCTGGCCAGGAGCGCACGGTCACGCGTCGCCAGTGTAGCCCGGTCAGTGTGGCCGAGTCAGTGTAGCCTGGTCAGTGTAGCCAGGTCAGTGTAGCCAGGTCAGTGTAGCCAAGTCAATGTAGCCCGGTCAGTGTAGCCTGGTCGGTGTAGTCTGGTCAGTGTAGCCTGGTCAGTGTAGCCCGGTCAGCGTAGCACGGTCAGTGTGGCCTGGTCAGTGTAGCCCGGTCAGTGTAGCCAGGTCAGTGTAGCCAGGTCAGTGTAGCCAGGTCAGTGTAGCCAGGTCAGTGTAGCCCGGTCAGTGTAGCCTGGTCAGTATAGCCCGGTCAGTGTAGCCCGGTCAGTGTAGCCCGGTCAGTATAGCCCGGTCAGTGTAGCCCGGTCAGTGTAGCCCGGTCATTGTAGCCCGGTCAGTGTAGCCCGGTCAGTGTAGCCTGGTCAGTGTAGCCCGGCCAGTGTAGCCCGGTCAGTGTAGCCGGGTCATAGTAGCCCGGTCAGTGTAGCCCGGTCAGTGTAGCTAGGTCAGTGTAGCCCGGTCAGTATAGCCCGGTCATGGTAGCCTGGTCAGTGTATCCCGGTCAGTGTAGCCCGGTCAGTGTAGCCCGGTCAGTGTAGCCCGGTCAGTGTAGCCCGGTCAGTATAGCTAGGTCAGTGTAGCCCAGTCAGTGTAGCCCGAACATGGTAGCCTGGTCAGTGTATCCCGGTCAGTGTAGCCCGGTCAGTGTAGCCCGGTCAGTATAGCCCGGTCAGTGTAGCCCCATCAGTGTGGCCTGGTCAGTGTGGCTTGGTCAGTGCAGCCCGGTCAGTGTAGCCCGGTCAGTATAGCGCGGTCAGTGTAGCCCGGTCAGTGTAGCCAAGCCCGGTCCCGCTGGGCGGTGTCGGTTCGTAACCGGCCGCTAGCCGCCGGAGACATGCTTAACGAGGTGTCTTCAAAGGTATTTAGTTAGCGCTAGTGAGTCCGAAATTAAATTTAACTCTAATTTACTTCGAATACACCATGGGTTGTCAAAATACCCTCGAGCCCCTCTCAAAATGCCCTTCATTTGGGATGAATTACTTTCATTTATCCATGACGTCATGCCGTAATATGAACCACGTTTTTCGTCACCCCTTGCAATCGGTGGCCGTCGTATTGATTTTAAGAAATGCTTACACAAACTACGATATTTGTTATGAGTGGCCTCTGGCCATACCCTTGACAATAAAATAAAGCCACACTTAGATTTTCATCTGGATTTTAAGCTAATTGTGAAGCCATTTGCATTTCCAAGTGCTGCTTTAAAGAAGTTCACTACTCGTCTACCGTGCGGTTTCCCAAGCCAGCGTTTCACATGAATGTTTTCCACTCCATGCAACGCGCCTACAAATGTCAATTCAAGCAAAAACCGTAATGTACCGTAAAATCCTTTATTGTACGGGGGCGAAATGCCAAGCCTGGTCAATCTGCCAAGACTGAATACATCTGAAACGTCCTCTTTGTCATGACTAGGATCTCGGATACATTACTGATGCCAGACATCACAAACACATCCATGCTTTAATCTCATCCCACCAGGTCACAGTAAGGAGTGTGACAAAGTTTGAAGAATTGTGTGGAAAATAGCAGAAGATCAGGTTTCGGTGAGAGGTCAATTTTTTCAGAGGCAAACGGTGAATACCGTACATTCTGCTCCACGAAACAATGATAACGTTTTAATTATGTATATACGGGGTACGGCATGATCAACCAAACAAGGAAAACCACTGTCATACCGCTTTGCATTTGTGCATTCCCCATGCATGCACTTACTATTGTTTCATCGTGCGTTCCTTTATCCTGAATATTAGCCCCAGTCCACCCATCTTACGGAGGCGTGCTGCGTAAGTCGGCCGTGAGTCGGCTCCACAGGCGCCCCGGCAAGAGGCCGCCATCTCACCGAGACGTGCCGCGTACGTCAGCTGTGAGTGGAGCCATCACACAGTGTGGAAGCGGCATCAAGGTACAGACTGCAGTGTTGCTCCACCAATGGCCGCGCTCGTGAAGAGTTTAATCCCAAGTGGTTGAGATAGGCAAGAGAGCTCTAATATATCGCCCATCTCTACTCGCATCCCGCTAAAAATCGTGATGCATAAGCCCAGATCAACCAACGATCATAACAAGCAATCCCTGATGGGTTTCTCCACAGAACTTCGCGCATTTCAGATCTCCCCTTCCCTCCCCCAGTACCATCTATGCGTCCTTTGTGACCTGCTAGACGGGTATGAGAGTGCTGTACCCCCCCCCCCCCCTCCCATCGAACTCCTGTGACAAGTCAGCCAGCCGAGGCACGTCTCTCAGCGCCCCATGGGACCCACCGCTGGACGTCAAAGCTCCGCCGCTTGGTCAATGACGTCACAGCAGCGTCAGGCATTACGTCAGAGCTTCAATTGGAATGAAGCCTTTGTGGGGTCAAAAGGTTGCCCTAGCCATTAGCAAGTTTGTGCGACACTTCGCGATATGCTCGTGGTGCATGCATCCGTGTTCGCGTGACTCTTGGACATTAGGACTGCACTATTTATTTCGTGAATGCCGAACCTGACTTGGTGACACGTATAGCTTCTCTGGCAGGACAGATGCAAGTCTAAGTTCTGTACCAGGTGAGAAAAGGTTGGCATCTACACCACTGCCATTTATGTAATAACTGTGCTGGAGTACAACATATGTATGGCCCTTAATTTTAACCGCCACAGTTCAACTTCCTCGTTTGGGTAAGCCATAGTGATCCAATTCGGCCTTCCGCAATTAAAAATGGTACTCTCTTAGCAAGGATCTCCCAAGTCGTTCTACGAATCCGACTCAGTGTTGTCTGGCGACACAGTACCAACATGAGATAAAAGAGCCACCATACGCAGTTCAGAGGAGTTGACTGAAGAACTCATCAAAGGTACAGGCATAGTATGGATGCGACATAACAAAATAATAAGCGTGTATCTTAAGCGCCTCTTCATTCGTAAAATGCCATGAGACAGGACTACTTTACCCTTGACAAAGCCATAAATGCAAATCCTCTACTGCGCTGAGCCCAAAAAGGTTATTTTAAATAGCAGTCACAAGGGAAACCAGCAGGAATGGAGCCACAGTCCGCTGGCCCGGCTTTTCGTGGTGCTGGAGAAGTGTTCAGAACGGTGGGGAAGATGGATATGACACAACCTCAAACGAAAGCAGTGCAGAACCTTTTCTGGCTCTTGCCTCCGTACGAGAAAGACCGCGCTGCATGCTTTAGTTACATATCAGACGTTCACCAGCAGTGTTCGCTTTTGGTGTTCGCCGCCCATAAAAATAGCACTGGTGATGTCGGCCGCATGCTAACTGGCGCAAATGGCCAGGCTTGCGTCATCAGTTGCGTCACAAGTCCCTTATGTCCGACGACTGAATCCTACTGGTACGATAAGTCCGAAGATCGGAGCCCACCTGTACAGTCAGCCCGGCGACAAAGCCCTCCTGTACCGTCAATGGCGAGAACCCCCGTACCTTCAATGACGAGCCCCTCACGCACCGTTAAAGGCGAGACCTTCCCGCACCGTTAATGGCGAGACCCTCCCGCACCGTTAATGGCGAGACCCTCCCGCACCGTTAATGGTGAGACCTTCTCGCACCGTCAACGACGAGACCCTCCCGCACCGTTAATGGCGAGACCCTCCCGCACCGTCAATGGCGAGACCCTTCTGCACCGTCAATGGCGAGACCCTTCCCTACCGTCAATGGCGAGACCCTCCCGCACCGTTAATGGCGAGACCTTTCTGCACCGTCAATGGCGAGACCCTCCCGTACCGTCAATGACGAGACCCTCCCGCACCGTTAATGGCGAGACCTTCCCCTACCGTCAATGGCGAGACCCCCACCCGCACCGTCAATGGCGAGACCCTTCCCTACCGTCAGTTACGAGATCCTCCCGCACCGTCAATGGCGAGACCCTCCCGCACCGTTGGAAACAAAACCAACTTGTACCACCAGTAACTAGGGCCGCACGCACCGAAAGTGACTGGTGCCGCACGCACCGTCAGTAACAATCTCCGAAAGCATCGATAGTACCAAAACCCGGAAAAAACGTCAGTAATAAGACCCACATGAGACGTCAGACGTCAGACATTAGTCGGAATCAAGATCCACATATATCGTTGGCAACGGGACGGGCATGTGCCGTCAGTCCAGCGAAGGACACCCGCACGTACCGTCAGTCCGGCGAAGGACACCCGCACGTACGGGTTGACCAGGTCGCTGGTCTCGCCCGTGATGGCTCGCTTGACGTTGGCCATGAGCGAGGAGTTCATGCGCGGCAGGCCGTCGGCACTGTGGATGGTGACGGCGATCCGTGCCCGCTGCCGCTCGGCCGTCACCCCGTCCGGCAACAGCAGGTTCCTGCCACGGGCGCAAACAGAGTCGTGTGGTAAGGAGGGGGGGGGGGGGGGGGGGAGGGCACGGGGTTGAAAAAGGGGCTCATGATGGTGCAAGCCCTCTTCCCCGCTTAAAGTTGTGATATATGATATATGATCCCAGATATTGCTTACATTATTTTAGCGGGCCCGATTTTCTCTGTTCTATTTTTATATTTGCCTTCTTATTGGAACAGAAGCCACAAGCCAACGGAAGACACCATTCTGTTTTTATCTTAAAGTCAATAAACTAAATGAAGCGTGCGTTGAATGATTAAATGGAGTGACACACTTCCACCATTTGTTTTACAATGGTTTAGTGGTCGCTTTCGTAAAACGATAGCAGCCGGAAGTTTTGCCGCAATTTTTGTGGGTTCTAAAGAGACATTGAGGGCCCCATGAACGTAGATTGTTTATCGGAATGGGGTCAACGATCCACACTACCATGAACAGCCCATGTTCAGCTGGGTATATTCAACCTACACTCAGAAATGATTAGTGAAAAATTAAGTAACGTAGTTTTGGACATACGCCTCCGCGAGCCATAGAAACAAAACAGACGTCCTGCATTGTAGTCTGCATGGGCTGCGCAGCGTCCACTCCGTGGCTAACACCTGGCGGCCAATAAGCGGACGAAAAAGAATCACACATCTGAAAAAGAGCCTGCGAACGCTTAAAGACACCAAATCTCACGGTACTGTTCAGTACTGTGGCCGCCGACTGACACAGGGCACTTCCATTGTCTCATTGTGGAATTTCAAGAGTCTCATAAGTTGCCATATCTCCCTTCATTGTCAGAGGGCCCAGACCAACGCCAGAGGCCCTCTGGGATGCGGGACACCGTCTCTGTCTCCGTTCAGCAAATGTTCCTTTGGCCGACTCGGGGCCCTTTGTCAACGCAGGACCCCCTGTTGGGCACTTTGGTCCCTGACCTAAGGAGCACTGTTGCCCACAGGTGCCCCTGTGGCCCACAGGGGCCCCTTATTATTCCAGGGGCCTCGACCAATCTAAATCACGGGCCCCGGCCTTGTCCCTGGTTGGGAAGTGAGCGCCTTGGGCTTAGACTGGCACAGAGCTGACTGGTTCGTGCTGGCGGTCTCTAGCTGAAACAGAGATTATCAGTGCTCCATGGCTCCCCAGTCACTACAAGAAGCCCTCTGACTGACATTCGAGGACCTGGCCCCACTGGCCGGGGTTCTTAATGTGCCCTAGAGCGAGCCCTTTGAGCCCCTTGGCCCTCCAATGGGCCCTTGAAGAGAACATCTGGAAAATCTTTAAGCTGTGAAATAAGGGCCGAATAGGTGCCTGAAGGGCCTCTCTTCGGGCGCCCTGGAAATCTACCTCTGACTGACTTTGGACCCCTTGCCAGCACAGGACCCCTCTTAAGCACTGCGGGTCCCTGAACAATACGGCGGCCCCTCATTGGTTCAAGGTCCCCGATCAATGTAAATTGAGGGCTCGGCCTTGTTCCTGTTAAATTATGGGCCCTCAGGCCCAGACGAGGCCGACGTTACGAGGCCGACTACTTGGTGCTGGTGGAAACTGACAGACATAGAGACCCTTATCGACTTAGGGGCCTCCGACCGGCGCAGGGGGCGTTCCGACTGACATTCGAGGATCCGGCCCCGAGGACCGGGGCCTGTTAATACGACCTCCGGCCAGCCCTTCCTTCCGTAGAACTGAGCCTTTTGTTGTGTGTCCCCAGGAGTCCTTTCGGCCAAGTCCCGTGGGGCGCTTTGGGGTCCTAAGGACCTACGGGGAAAGGGGTGTGCGCCCCCCCCCCCCCCCCATTCCCTCCCCTGACTGCGACACTGGTTCGTGCCGCAGGTCAAGATCAGACGTGTCAGTCGTTAAACAAGACATGAGAGACTCGAATAGAATTGCTGGATTTTAAAGGTGATCGTGGACATGGATCAGCGTAGGAATAATATAGAATTGGAAATTGCCTGGGGTCCTGGTCTTTAAAAAGTATATACGGATACGGATTTAAACTCGACCCATGGAGCAGGACCAGGAAAAGTCGATGACTCACCGGCGAAGCCAGAAAAATATGTATAATGTACGTTGATGAAGAAGTATATGAATTCCGACTGATTGCAATACAAGTGCATATCTGATTTCGAAACATCCTCCAGCCATGAACCATTCCTGTGACTTACTTAACACATCCCGTCTTGCGTACCTATAGAAGCATTCGCTACTCGTCTTACAGTTCGTGTCCCGCACGCATAGCGGCTAACAGACCTCAAATGTCCCGTTCGTTTTAGGTGAACAAATTACCAAATTGCCTCGCAGTCATAATCATCATATCATTTACCGTCACTATGCCATTATCATTGATTATTATCAGCCTTGCGCCGCTGCGCAGCATGAAACTGGTAATGCGTTCCACATTGACTTCATGACCAACACGCGCTGGAAATAGATTTTAGGCGCCCATGTCGCGATAATTACCCAAAACACAAAATGAGACGCTTATTCACTGAGGCAACAGGAGCTTTCATCTGACAGAGGCGTTATTACACCATGGTTTACTTGCCCCGCAAAGCATGTGATGTGAGTAGATTATTGGCCCTATACGACGAACAGTATATTTGCTGTCAGGCAGGTTGAGTGCAAGTGCAGCATGAGCGTTGTGTTTTGTATAGTATTTACCACTGCTTTTAATACTGAGCGGCCTGCACCAGGCATTACGGTCAATGCGGTTTAAACATGTCCTTGGTGCGCAGGCTCCGTAAGTGTCTGTAGATTATACCACCTGTAATTATGCACTGGACACCAGCGGCCTGCCGTACCACATGGAGCCACACGTTTGACGCAAGCTAGGGTAATAAATCGTGAGAACCGTAATCGCGTGTTTTAAACTGTCATAACAGCGGCAGAATGGGGTTCCGTACTTCTGCAAAGCGGGTCCCATTCAAGAACGATATGTGCGCAGGTCGCGGTGACGTATAGTCTAACATCACGCTTGGCCGCTCCGTTCTGTCCTTCGACGAAGAGAACTTAGGGAAAAATGCTAACAAATTAATTACGCATGGTCAGGCAAGATGTAATGACATGGGTCGTATTTAGCAACGGTGTTCAGGAGCAGAAGTGCAAGTTCAGCACAATGAACCGTAAAGGAAAGATCCAGGAAAACCATGCTGAATCTATTGGTGGCAGTCTTTGGCGAACAAGCAAAAATGGCGAGGCCGTGAATGACATTAAGCGAAGCAGACGCTACGGACGAACCGCACCTGAGCTGCCGGTGTGGTTGAGCAGCCCATACCAAAAATGTTGGGTAATAACATCTAGTAGAGCAGAACAGTACCAGCCCGTGTCAAACATCCATTCCGTCCTTGACACACCATATTCAGAGACTGTTAGGAAGCGAGCGATGCATGTGAGCCCAGTAAAACCTCGGCCGCCGACAAATCGCACCAAGTCAGCATGCCAGTAGAGCCTAAACCTATTTCTCCTCTCTCGCACACGACACCTACGTCTCACATCCACCAGCCACACTCAGGCGCGCGCGCTATCTCTTCACGCGTCTCGCGACGTGCCTGGTGATTTGCACTCTATTAAGGCACGGCACTCATGCCTCATCTGCGGCACTCATGCCCTACGCATTCTACTCCCCCCTCCCCCCCCCCCACACACACTTGCACTACTCACGCCTCATCTGTGGTTATCATGCCCTAAACGCAGCACCCATACCTCGTGCGCGACACCCTTGCTCCGCGCGACACCCTTGCCCCGCGCGCGACATCCTTGCCTCGTGCCCGACACCCATGCCTCGCACGCGACACCCTTGCCTCGCGCACAGCACCCATGCCTCGAGCACGGCCACTCACGCTTCACGCGCAGTACTCACGCCTCGATGTCGTCCTCGTCCTTGTCGGTTCTCGTGGGCGCCTTGACTGTGTCACCCTTGCCGATGACGCTGATGTCACACTTGACGTACCCCTTGGGGCCGCCGCAGGGGTCGTCCGGGTCGGTCAGCAGTGCCCACTTGTGGTAGAACTGGTGGTCTGGAGGCGGAGAGGCAGGGCTCAGGGGCAGTGATCGCGTGGTTGGTTTGCTCGAGTGCCGTTGGAACAGAACTCTTCGCAAACTCGTCTTGTTGTGCAGGTGTTGAGCCCGATGCCCAGATGGTCCGAAACGTGGAATAGTTTTGCACTAGCCCGTTTGCCGAGTGGGCCTGAGGGTTTAACTCTATTTTCATGCGGTGGATTTCACTGCATGACGGGAGACAGTTTAAGATGTTGAGACCCTGAAACCTAGAAATCTACGAGGCTGATTGTATTGTTCGGAGCTCAAAATTACCGCCGGAGCGTAAACTCTCTTTTGACACACATTGGTTTCGGAGATATCCGTGGCGCACTTATCAGCTGGTTAGTTAGTATTGGTTAGTTGACCAGTTAATATTAGTTAGTAGAGGTTTTAAGGGCGCGGCAACTGCAATAGGTACCATTCATGCATGACACACTAAGGAGAGCAAAAGAGGATAAAAACATGTCTTGTTTTTTCCAGAAATTTACCGGAGCTTGGTAAATTGCATTTAGTTTTGTTTAGAGCCTGTTGGTTGCGTGTTTAGTGCATGTAAAGGATACCTTGCATAAAAGAGTGAAATCCTGCAGACATATAAAGTATTTTACGATAAACATGATCCGTATCTAAATCAATGACGGCTCCAGTAATGTTAAAGGGCAGGTAAAGGAATGATTGGATGCATCCAGCTACCTCCATTAGTAAGACTGCCTGCTTCCATAAGTCGAGTAACTTGGCTGATATGCACAGCCATTTATGTAAACCCATTCCTTGATGTCTTTATTGCCCCGAGATCTGCGGCGGATCCATAAGCTCTCTGCAATTTATACGCATCACAAATCCGCTGAGCGCGATCAGCTTGGATACCACGGACCGGCCGGGCGCGGACGGAGGGTCGTGGACGCCAGGCCGGCCTCGGAACTGGCCGTCATTCGCGCCGATGTGCCTCCCAGCAAAAGTGCCTGAAGGGGCTTCTGCGTGGTGAAGCGAGCTCAAACCGAATTTTGACACACAATGGCCAATTTATTCAAGAAAAGTCGTCAGACTTTAAAACACCGGCTCTTGCAGCCACGCATCCCATCACATAACCAAGGGGGCCGGAATGAGAACGGCGCCAACGTGCAATGCAATGATATGATATGCCGTTTGGAACTATGTAGTTTGGGGACATTAAATTCATAGGTGTTGGGCAGGGGAGTGACTTGATATACTTTCGCCCCCTCCCCCCCCCCCCCCCCCGCTCCCATATGCTAGCTTGAGCCCACACTGCCCGTCTGAGCCCCACTGCATACAAGTACAAAAGAGAATACTGGGCGAGAAAAATCTAGCAAATGCTGCAGAACTGCTGGAACATAAGGTACATGAGCACATCACTGCAAGTTTTACGTTCATTTTGTACCACATAGCATACTGGAGTTCCTGGATATTTGTAATGCTAGCTTCTCAGTATGCTAAGCCAGTCTGCAAATGTTGGCGGGCTTTTCAGGAGATCTTCACTGCTGATATCTGCCCGTCTGACTGGGTCGCAATTTCGCCACCTCACTTATTCGGCCTTCAGGTACTAATAGTACCAAGTCCAATTACTTCAAAGGAAAGTAAAATGGAGATCGCTGACTCTTTCTCTTGTCTCGATCCTCCTCTTCTCCTCGATCTGATCCCTTTACTCTCTCCCTCTCTCCCTCTCTCTATCTCTCTCTCTCTCTCTCTCTCTCTCTCTCTCTCTCTCTCTCTCTCTCTCTCTTCTCTCTCTCTCTCTCCTCTCTCTCTCTCTCTCTCTCTCTCTCTCTCTCTCTCTCTCTCTCTCTCTCTCTCTCTCTCTCTCTCTCTCTCTCTCTCTCTCTCTCTCTCCCCTCGATCTGACGCCTCTCTCTTTCCCTATCTTCCCATTCCCATTCTCTCTCACCCATCCTCTCCTCGCTTGATTTCTGCGAGCGCTCCGCTAGTTCCATCTTAAAAAGTCAGCACAATGCATACCGCATAAAATATTGCCCTTTAAATTCGAACTGGGTCAGATTAACTGCAAGGACTTAAGTGAACAAGGGACGGGTTTGTTCCTTTGCCTCCGTTGGGAGCTGTTCAACATGTTTCATCCTTGTCTGATAAGGCGCAATGTTCATGAGGAGCACTGACCATTGCTAAGCTTTATCTCGGCTACGAGCAAAATTGACAGCCTTCAAGCCGTGAGGCGAGTAATGCTTCATACATGAATACATGTTTCGAAGTTAGATACGCAGAAGTTATGTTACCTAGTCGTAACTGATGCAGCATTTTTAGTTTCGTCAAACGCTCGCTGCTTCCGGTGTTGTTTTTTTACCACGTTTTTACCATTTTAGTTTTACCACGGATAGTTAGGAGGATGGAAGTAGCTTCAAATCGGTAACGCGTTTGGTGATGCCTTCACATATGGCAGCATCCCCGGTCGTGGCGTTACGGAGAAGTTGCTTGATCACCTACAGGCAACGTTTTGCATAACGTTTCGAAATGGCAACATTTTTATCGTTCTGGACATGTTGAGACTGAAAACCACTTGACACGCCAAAGGAAATTTGAAGAAATTGAACAAGCATCAGATGTGGTGAAATAAGCTTACTTCTAACTATTGGCATACTTTTACTTAGAAAAGAATGTTCAAGACAACAAAAATTACCTGTTCACTAAATATTCTCCTCAATACGTCGTTGTTTGATTGTGTCACGGGACGTTTCTACGACAGCACTCACTTGCAGTTCTCCGATCTCCCGAGATGTGGCCCGCGGCGGTACTGGCTGTGTGCGGAACGTTAAGTACCGTTAACTGCTCGTGCCTTGGTCCTTTCTCATGGTGTTCTTGCATATCTATCGTAAGTTTAAAACACTGACTTGTATTCAGATGCTCAGTCATAGCGCTGTCCTTAAGTTGTACGATTTCAGGTCTTGTAGCAACTGGGAAGAATGTACATCTTGTATGGTGTAGCACTGAACGTAATTCGTGTCAGAATCTTGCAAACCCTGTGCAACATTGGATGAGGACCAATTGGCGACCATTGTATCTGGACATCGTGCTCACAAACGCCAGCTATCAGTCATTCGATAATTATATTTTCTTGGCCTTCGCCGTATGGCCAGTGGAATAGTAGAATTTGAGTGATGTTAATGTGGACGCCTGGGCAACCAAGGCGTACTTTGCACGAAATAGTCTGCACATCTTTGAGGGCGTTTAGGTCAGAAACTAGAAGGTCTTAGCTCTTTAGGACAGGGCTGTGAACTGCGCCGAATGAGCACCAAGACGGTCATTTCAGACTAAAAGCCCATACAAATATGGAACACTCCCTTTAAGAAACTCCACCTCGTGATGGAACAACTGCATTAAAAGCCCATACAAATATGGAACACTCCCTTTAAGAAAATCTGCCTCATGATGGGACAACTGCATTCCGGAAATCCGCTTTGGTTATGACAAATCCCTTCCATGCATCTCAGGCATAAGAACTAAGCAGAAACTAAGCCAATCAATTTTGTTATCCTTCTCACCCAATTGCAGCCTGTTCGGCTAGATGTTCACACCAAGGCGCGCTTGCCTAACCATGAGTCGAACAGACGTCGGCCAATCGAGCCGGACTGTAAGACGGGCATCAACGGCTAGTTGGGGGCCTAAATACACTGTGATGTAGTGCGTTTCTAGTACGTGTACCTAGCCACGCCCTCGCGGCCGACCGCCGGAGGCGGGGGTTGACCGGCCGCCGCGGTCAGAGGTCACCGGGAGGTCAGTCTTCTGATACCAGTGAGGGCACGCGCATATCACGCGGGTGAAGCAAGTGGGGCGTGCCAAGTGGGGTGTGCCAAACGCAGGCCAGAGAGAAATTGGTGTGGTGCGATGGAGAAGAGTTGAAAGACTTTTTGCGACGGACTGATGTCTTTCGGCTGGCAGGGGGAGGGGGGGGGCAGAAAAAGCGGTGGGGAAGACGCTTTTTGGACTCGGCTCGCGGATGGCGGTGATAAAAGTGCTGTTCGAAGAGGCCACAAGGGATGTTCGAAGCCTGACGTCGGCGCTGCGTCGAGAACTCGGTCCATCGAGGAGCTGGTACCAGCACCGGTGCAGCCACAGCCGCAAGCAGCCCTCCGAGACAAACGGCATGTTTTTTGCCGTTTCATTCCCCTTGTTTCATGGTGAGTTCGACTGAGCGCCACCCAGCGACACGTTCCGTGCCGCGTCGCCGCCGCGTGGAACCGGCTGCCCGCGGCGGCCATCCGCGCCCCCTCGCGCCAGGCATTCTTGACTGTTTTAAATCGCTGTCTCATCGACTGAAACTGTGTGTCTATGCGTATAGGTGTACCTCTGTACTGTTTGTGTTTTCCTCTTTTTTTGTACGACACCAGCAGGCGCAGAACAACCACCACGTGGGTGCGCCTTAATCGAAATAACTTGCTGTAACTGTGCGCTTCGTAGCTCGGAGCCTGGCATGGCTGCACGAGCCGCCGCGCTCTGAAGAGTCGAGAGTCGATTCTTGGGCGGATTTCGTCCGATGTTGTGGCACAGTTACGTCTGTTGTAACCCAGCACTGGATCCCTGCACTGACCTTGATGAGATGTCGGTATGCGCAAAACAAAGTAAGGGGCTGTCCATCGTTCGCCGGCCTAAGTCAGTTCAGTTGGGGAGGGGTCTGCTGTAAAGAAGGGAGCAGTTGATCATTTCCGTAACGAGGTAGCCGAGCTCTCCCGTGCCGTGTTCCGTGTTCCGTGTTCCGTGTTCCGCGCTCGAGGTCCACGCGGCCGCCGGCCGGCCTGCCGGTCGTCTGGCGCTGTCGCCGGGGGCGGTATGACGTCATTCGCAGCCAGGCGGGTCAATTAGAGGTCGACTCAGGGGGACGGGAAATGGCACGTGACCCGGCCAGGGTGAGCTGGCCGGCGGCGCACAGGCGGCGGCGCACAGGAACGCGCCCAGGGGGAGGGCAGCGGTGCAGCAGGGCCGGGCTAGCCGGAGCTCGGGTCGGGCTGGGCCGGTT